ATCTTTCTTTTTCTTGTCTTTCTTCTTCTTTTTGCTGTGCTTCTTTGACTTTTTCTTCTTCTTCTTCTTGCCATGCCTGCTCTCTGAGCTGGACCTTGCCCAGTGCAGTTTGCAGTCCCGCACACAGTCAGTACATAAAACAAAACAAGTCAAGCCAGTTAGTTCAGGTTTTGTTTTGCAGTACTGTGTGAAACACAACATGCACCAGGTGAAGCAGTTAATGTGCCAGTTGCCAGTTTAGTTTAGTTTTGTTTGCAGCAATGTCAAAACTACAAACTACAGCAATATAGTGCCAAAGTACTCACCATAGCTGTAGCCTGGGCATTGTGGGCTTTAATAAAAAGCAAAGTTGGGTACTGCTATTATTGTCTTTCATTCTTCTTTAGTGCCACTCCCAAACAACAAAGGTCTTTTGGCCAAAGGAGCTGTATTCACTCTCATCATCTAAATCTGGCAAGGATGCTCTGTCACTGGTTGTTGGCCTTGTGGTGGTAGAAGCCAAAGATGCCAAGGAAGCACCACTTGTGGCACTTGGGTGGTATGGTTCATACTCAGGCCTGTGATGCCTGTAGTAAGGGCCCAAGCCAAAACCACCTGGAACTGGAGGTGGTGGTGCTAAGTGCCTTAGCCACTACCAGGAGGGCCAACCAAGGGTAAGCCCCCACAGCCCAACATCATGATGATCAATTGCCAGACACAACAGGTAAGTCATTTTTGACCAAATAACAGAACTTGCTTCAAAGATCTTAAACTGAATGAAGATAAGTTGCTCAGGGATGGTTGTGCGCCTTTTTTTCTTCCTATGTTGACCCATGGCTGACAAAGCCACAGCTACCCAAACAAGGCACCCTCAGCCAGAATGGCCACAGGAAGGTTGGCACCAGAATCTTCAGCAAAACTAGACTTGGTTTACAGTAAGTTTTTTTTGGTGTCTTGGTTGGGTCAACACCCTGAAGTCACTCCTCAAGCTGTCAGCTTTTGCTTTTGACAGTCACCCCCTCAAACCATATTTTTTGGTATTTTTCTGGATGTGATGGTATTTGGGGGAAGGTGTCCTTTAAGAGGCCAATGAAGCGCCCTCCCAATGAAGCGCCCTGTTCTCTCAGAAGAATTTATAAAGTGGGGAAATGTTTTTCATTAGGAAATCTCCCGTGCTAGTTTTCCATGCTCACACTTGCATACTCATTGCATGCTTGCATACTCATTGCATGCTTGCATACTCATCATTGCACTTGCATCATTACACTTGCATACTTTGACACTTGCATACTTTGCACTTGGATGCTTTCGCTCTTCCACTTACACTGGGGTACGTATAGCGTTCATGTTGTAGTGCAAGTGTGGAAATGTCAGTGTGTAAGTGTAAGTGTCGAAGTGTCAGTGTTCAAGGGATTTTCCGGAAGAACCCTTCGCAATGCTTTCGGGAAAAATGTGTGGATATTTCTACTGGGATTTCTATCGTGACTCCACAGTTGAAGCTTTTTTTGCAGATTCTAATCAATGGGAGTTTTTAACGTCAGCAACTATGTGGAGTGTTTTTTTTAAAGGGATTTTTCTGGAAGACCTTTCGCACCTTTTGAACCCCTTCAGATCTTGGAAAACCCTTCTCCCTTCCGATCGCGTCCGAGCACGTCGCGTCTCCGCGCGTCTGGGGACCCGTCCGTCGTCGCATCGCTGGGCCACCCGGGCTCGAGACGCCTCCGGTGCGGAGGGCAACTGCTGGGACCGCCGTAGGTTCATGTCCCGCACCTGGATCCACGGACGAGGGTGGGGTGGGTCTTGGGCGGAACGAGGGTATGGTGTTGCCATTCTGGACAATATTGAGCAACCATTTATAGGAACTTGGTTACGTTTTATGGATGAAGAGCAGAACTTCTTGCATAGGATTGGAAGAGATCCGGGTCTTGCGACGATGCCACGAGGAGCTCGGAGCTCGAATTCGCTTGGGAAGAACCCACCACCGACCCTCTCCCCCATCCCTCAGAGCCGGATGCAGGACGGGGATCTGCGAAGCAAATACTTAAGTGAGGGTTTAGGGTTTTAGGGAGAGACTTTGAGATCGACGAATTGCTGTGCCTGGTGAGGCCTATGGCTGTTCGGATTCCATGACTGTTGACGCTTTTAAAACGCCCTGGGGCTTTTCCAAACGCCAAACAAAGGCGGTTTGGGGCTTCAGCTGTCATGCATCGTCCCCCAAAAAATACCGAGGCAAGCACGGCGTCTTGGTCCACCGTGGCCAATTGCTCGTGGAAGTAGGCGAGGGCACTGGCAAAGGGGAGGCCCATGTCACCTGAGCGCCAGCCCCCCATGTCACCAGAGTACATCTCAGGTGATATGAACAGTGAATATCTCTGGCCGGCGTTCCATCTCTATCTTAGCAGAGTACTACTATCTCACTGAGCTGTGAAGTGAACATCTCTTCAATGAACATCCACATCTCTTCAGGAAGCTGCGCGGCTCCAGTGAACATCTCTTGAAAACAATCGTGACCTTTTTTGGAGCGCCAACACGTCCATAGATCCGGCGTCGACATACTGACCAGAGTACCAGCGAACTCAGAGTAATTGCAATACTGACCATCCCTTTAGAAAGAACATCCATGACCCCTGTTTTGGAGAGCCAAAACATCTTTGCGAAGAGTTGGGCACCAAAAGAAGACATTGAAATGATTGACGCGGTTGTGTTCATGATTTTTCATACCATTCATGATCACAAGTCTAGACGCGCACAAATGCCAAGCCACCTCATGAAAGCTGAATCAATCAGCTTTTGTTTCTGACATTTCACAAGTCAAAGCTTGACTCCTAGAAGTCTGTATTTAAGTCATTCAGAAGTGATTCACCAAGTCGTCCAAGCTTCAGTGAGTCATCCGACATCGTTCGTGAGTTGTCCTTGGTGTCATCCTTGGTCCTTGATGACTCATTTTGGTACTCCGTTCTGCATGCTTCTGCATTCCAGTCACTCCAGCTTATGTTCCCTTACCTCCGGATTAGCCTTTCAAGGTCTCCAGAAAAAAACAGATCCCATCCCAGTGACGTTTGCCGACGCAGGCTTCAGCTTCGAGGATGGCTTCCCGTGTGCTGCCCTCGCAATGGAGAGCATAGGCCTGGCGAAAGAAACATCTCTCAGCAGCGGGTCTGTACGCTCTAGCCGCTACATACGATGGGGTGCAACTACAGTGGTGGAGGCTTTTCGTGGTGGAAATACACAAGAAGAAGCTCAGAAAGGAACGTTGACTAAATACCAGGTCCAGGTCTTATCTGGTTTTATCCAACATGACCTGCTAACCATCGATCGAAATCGCGTCGGAGTCTCTGGAGTTTGTGACTCAGATCTGGTACCGGATGGTACCGGGTTCCCCGGTATCAGGTCAATGTTCCCTCTTTTCTGGCCAAGAGATTTTGGGAAAAAAGGTGCCTTTCAACTCATGTTTGGGTTTTGAAGACTTGACCTTTTTTTGCCCCTTCAGGACCAGTGAACTACCGCGGTCTCTAAACATGTCGTCCACACATGAGATTTTGCGACATGGAACCGCCCAAAACGTCTCCAACGTCTTCCACCCCAACAACGCATCCCCAAACGAGCCAAATCAGAACGAGCTCACAGCCGTGCGTGCCTTCCACAAGTGTAGAGCCACATCATTGGAACGTCTCGCCTCCTGGTCACAGATCGTCTGTGCCTTGTTGTAGTAGCCCTCCCCTCAGAGCCGGTCTCGCTCCGGTCTTTTCGCCGCGAGACGACGTTTGCATGGGTGAAGTCGAAGTCTGGTGTGTCCGTGGGCGAGAAAGTCCATGGAGACGCCCCCCCGTGGCCCAGTGGCGGTCCAGGGTCTTTCTTCTTAGGGGGATTGAACTAGGTCCGATCAAAGTAATACATTTCAAGTGTGTGTGTAGTGGGTCACATCAACTATAATATGTATACATGTGTATAATTCATTTATATGTAGTAGTGGGTCAACAGGATTCTCGGTGGCCCACATTAGGTTGGATCATGTTGGATCCAAGCTTTGACAATTCTCAGCAGGTAGTGATGGCATGATGAGTTTAGGGCTTGTCCTTCTCATCCAGCCGTGCCTGGTATCTCACCACAGGCCACCCATTGAAAAGATGAAGGATTGGATGATGTACAGGATTCAAACCAAACACATCTCTAGTATCTTGCAACTCGCAGTGACTCTGCTAAGGGGGTACATTCAATTGTAAAACCCTTACAAGGCCAACTCACTCCCTGCTGTTGAAGCACGGGCATAGTACTGTGCCAGCACCTGACACACACCGAACAAAAACTCCATCTTTGAGAAAGGGGAGCTTGGAACAAGCCGAGGAAGACAGTTGGGAGTGAAGGCGCTGGGAAGAATCAAACCAGCACCTGTTCCTGAATGATGGTTTAGACCCTTCACAAAATATTCGTCAACTGTGCAAAGTGAACATCGAGCAAATGAAAGCACTAACCAGGTTCTCAATCTGTCTCGGCCTGCGCTTGGGTAGTCATGGCGGCCTTTGCAAACCACGACTACCTGGACTCGTGCCTGTGTTGATAACTTGTGGCTGGTTGCTGTGGCTTCTGGACTCATCTCGGACGTCCCGTCCAACATCATAGCTGTTTTCTGCTTGTTAACATCATTAGCGTTGCTAACTGCTCCAAGCATGCAAATCTGTCACCTACTGTATCTCCCTGAGATTTCTTGAATATCTCATCTAAGCTTTACGACCTCACTTTATTTGAGGCTTGAGCCGAAACCATCGGGTTTGTCACAGACTCACGGTCTGAGCACAGACTCATAGAGTCACGGCCAGCGTTTGAAGAAACCGGTCGAGGATAACATCGAAATTGCGAAGAAACCAGGGGTACATCAAATCAATGGCTTGAATGCATTCTCCGGCTGCAGCGTTCTGCCAATCAAGAAAAAAAGGAATCTAGTTATTCAGAAAGTTCCTGCACCGCGGTGCGGTAGCGCGGCTAGCCGCGCGGCGCGGTCGCGTCGCGCGGTGCGGCTGCGCCTATGACTTTCAGGAGAAACATCACTTGTGGCCGGCCTGGGTGTTATGACTTGAAAGAACGGAACATCTAAGAGACATTCATAACTACTCACCAGGTTTCAGTGAATTATTGAGGAACCCAAGGATTTTCATGGGGACACCCAACCACCCCGAACATCTTTAGCTTGTTTGGAGGTGTGGTGAGGCCTTCGATGGATTCCAAATGGCCCTCTCCAGGGCTTGAACATCGGATTCTCACTGCTCGTTGAAACAGAAAGCAATGTCCAGACAGCTGCAGGTAGCATGTTGTCCCGATTTCTGGTCCTTGTTTTTTTTCCGGATTTCTTGCTCCAAAATCGAAGGTTTCTCGATGTTCACTGTTTGCCTTCTTGATAGACCGGTCAGAACCATGATGTCCCACCTGGAAAAAAGAGTGAACTCAGACTACAAAGGTCAATGAATTGGCAGTGCCCACGACCATCCTATATTCCCATATTCCGTGGTATGAGGATTTCCTATATTCCCATTGTTGGACTTGGTCATATTCTCCTCTATGCTCAACAGAGGGACGAGCATCCGAAGACCAAACTGGTGGTGGTGCTTTTCCACGTCACCACCATGAGGATCTCAGGCAGGTGTAGACGTTCAAAAGCACAAGACGAAGAGTACCGGGCACGAACCTCTCTCTGACTCCGTCAAAAACCGTGAACCATTGCTTTAAGGGTCTTCAGACTTCACCAAAGAACCATTGTTTACCTAGCAGTCGTTTTTTACACCACCAGGTCACCCACTTTTGTAGTGGTCTTTGAAAGCTAGGGTATTTATAGGCCGCTTTCATGCCCCGAAAGCTTATGGCCCCCAACTGCCAAGAAGCCCGGAACGGTCGACTCGCACTGCGTGCTGCGTAACATGAGCTCGGTTGCCTGTGCGACCGCGACCCAAACGATGTGTGGTTTGCAGGTGGATGCTGCTGCTGATCATGGGGTTCGAAGGTTACGGAGAGAGAGTTCTGGATATGTTTTTTGTTTTATGTTGTTTTTTTTGCCACACTTTTTTGACATATGCACCTTCAAGAGTTCTCTTGATTTATAAGCTAAATGTGTTAGCTCCGGTTTGTGTTTGCTCCTTCCGTCGCAGGGCAATGGTCGAATCATTCCAACTGCGACACCTATTGGGCCACCGTGACACCTTTGGGCCACCGACACGAAGAACTCACTCTTCACGTCCATCCCACCGAAAAATCTTCTCGCCGCAGGCGAAGCGCCGGCCTCGTCGTATGTGACGCACTCCTTCTCCGCTCTTGCCTCGCGAGTGCAACGAAGCTCGAGCAGCAGGTTTCTTTCAGCCCCTACGAGTGGCAACAAGCACAATCCCCGAAAGGTGGCTTACATCATGGACCCCTGCATAAAAGACAGCTTGGGGGTTGTGCCATCTACTCTGAAACCACTGTATTTCACTGTATTTTCCAAGAGTGGCCGAGTGGCCACGGATTGGATGGTTAGCAATGTTGGAGCCAATTCTTAGAACCGACCGTGGATCTATGTACTCCAAGAAACCCCAAAGCTGGAGGTGGAAGTTCCTTTCCCCCAACCTAGGAGTCGTTTCGGAAGCTACCATGAACTGTTGCTGAGGCCATCCCCAACAACAGGATGTAGAAGTGAATCTTAACAATGCTGAAGCCAAGTAAGCCATCCAAAAGGATTACTCGGATTTAGGATGATGTAGGATCTTCCACAGCACCCAGATTGTCCGTTCTTCCAAGAACGGGATGGTTTCTATGAGTCAACTGCGGTAGTCATACCCCTTTTGAGGGCTAGTAAAAGTAAATCAGTAGCTTGAATATAAATGGATCTAGCACCAAAACCAGACAGTGATCCAATTCCCAATTCCTTGACTCTGTTTCATCCAACAGCCAGCCTCCTTGACTTAATCTGCGCTTCAGTTGAAACATGGTCTGGGTCCTTGACTCCCCCAAAACACCGCAAAAAAAGTATGCCACGACGCGCTGCACGCGACAAACCATCCCACGAGGCACCTCCAGGAGCGCACGCAGCTGGACGACTGAAGGATTGGACCTCGACAAAGGCGTGGATGTTGAAGCCAGTGGGAACTGAAATCATCCAACTGTTCTACTGGAAGGATTGAAACCACCATGATTGTAAATAGATACACCAGTTCTACATCCACTAGATGGTAGATGTCAAAGAAACCACCAACTACCAACTGTTGAAGCCAGTGGATTGTATCTGGATGCTGAAGAAGCTAAAGAGATCTAGTTAAGCACCTGAAAACTGCAGCACTCTGGCAAACTCTTCAGGAACACCGGCAGCCTTTTTGGCAGCTAAGGTGCGGTGTTGGTAAGCTCTCTTCTCCTGGCGGGGAAGTCTTCGGATCATCTCCTGCGCAAGAGTCCACCCTAGCCGCCAGCGCACGTGTCCGTGTAGTCCGTGTTGAGCTCCCCCAGACAGCACCAGACGGCACCGGAAAGTTCGGAGAAACATCTCATCGAACGTTCTTCGAGAATTGCGAAGGTTCCACGACTGTTCATGTGCCGTTGTGTGGCAATCTTCACTGGGGTTTAAAGGCTGCCTGCTATCTTGACCCTTGTCGTCACGATTTATTCGCCCTTTTTTCATCTTTGAAGCTGGTTCCGAGCCATGAGGAAGCTTGTGAAGCAAATGGGTGACACCTGGAGAAGCCTGTTGGAGGGATCATTTTGATCAATCGGGGCAAAGGCACTAGTCGGGCACCAGTCGGATACCCATGTTGAAGGGTTGAGGTGCTCCATAGGCAGTTTCAGACCAACGCTTTGACAGCTGTGGAAGTCCAACTAACTGGACTAGTCCAAAACAACTGTTTAAGTTATATGACTTTAAGTTACTGCAGGCAAATACTTCTTGCGTTTCTTAACCACTCCAGCACACCACTACTTCAGCACCCCAGCAATCGGTGTCCTGCGGGAGCATCATCAGGCATCGCCAAAAAGGAATGGGCCGAGCCGTGCGGCCGAGGTGGGCCGAGGGACTGGATGTTGGTCAGTGAGTGACTGGACTGGAGGACTGGGTCGGAGTGGGTCGGAGTGGGTGATGTTCAGAATGTCTCAGGTCTCAAAAGATGTGGTGCTTCAGAAGGTCAAGCACTGGCAACTTGACCGACGCATTGCGGTCTGTGGGTGGTTATCTGAATTGGTGAAACGCATGGCTGATTAGCTGCATTTATCATGAGCTGTGCCAAAATCTGTTTGGGGACAGTGCAGGCATAGACAAAAGTGAGATCCACTTCATTCTCATGTGCGCTGGAGCCACAGTCTTCAGAGTCAGCAATAACAAAAACACTCAAATCTGAGCGAAGCTCGTGAGAATGTCCTGGATTGCCCTCCTCTTTGGAATAACTATACTAGAACTTTATATGTCTTAGACATGAATCCTGCTTATATCACTTACATTGCCGGTGCATTCAACAAATCTCTTGGCGCAACCGGCCACCGGTCCCCAACTCCCCCCCCGATCCCAGCCGATCCGGGGCACCCTCTGCCAAACGACCACGTCCCCCGCCGCCGTGAGGCCCCAGACCTCGGCCGCTGCCAGGCGCGCAATCGATGTGACGACCTTTTCACCACATCGATTGCGCAATCGGATGATGCGACTCTTTTTAAACCAACGCATGATGAATCTGGATGCGTTCAGAGCGAAAAGGGGGCAACTCTGGATGCGAACTGCCCGATGTCTGTACAAGCACAGCGAATAGTGGGCAACTCTGGATGCGAACTGCCCATGACGCCCCATGACGCAAAAATCCAAGGTCAGTGATTCCCACAATTCCCAGCCAAAACAAAAATCTTCAGTATGAACAATCTTGATTCTGAATGTTATCTTCGTCGTGGTTCAACAAAGCTCTATACATTTGGAATTATTTGGATATTGAGTATATTATCCCATTACCATGGCCCAGTGGATGATGATGCTCTCATTTGGTAAAGGCCGTGGGAATTTCTTGCCGGCGGCTGGACTGGTAATGGGACACACCCTAGCTCTATATTCGTAGGGTTGTGAGAATGTTGTGGGATAGACTAACTCTCTCAGGAGACCACGCAGGTGTCATTCACTTCCGGGCAGCCACCAAGCCGTAGAACACGGCATACTGCGCAAGCAGTGGCACGCTGTCAGAGTGGAAACCAACTTCAGAGGCATAGCCATGCGCCATGAGCATCGCATTGATCCACTGACCAATGTGATCCGAGTCGTACTCCCAAGAGCGTTGGTCCATCAGTGCTCGCCATATGAAGTCAAACGCAGGTCCATCCGTGATGCGCGGCTGTCGGGCATGCAGAATGAAGCTGCGGCCTCCATTGAAGGCTTCAAGCCACGTGGGATCAGGAGTGCTGGAAGGAAGTGCTTCAGATGTCCTTGGTTGAGCATTCTCCTCATACGGAAGCCGTTTGGGACAAAAGGATTACGGACGGAAACACAGCAGAAACATGCTTCTGCAGAATCAATCAGCTCAGTGTCCAATTGCTGCTGCAAGACACATCAGCCACCTTCTGTCCTGCCACATTGCGGTAGAGGAATTGACGACTTGCCACATCGAATCGCCACTGTTCTCCCACCCAAGTTGCCTCTGGCGATTGGCAGTTGTTTCCATCCTCATCACAAACGCCCACAAAGTCAAGGCTTTGGAGCTTGCCCCGATGGTCAAAGCACGTCACAGTGGCCGGGCCTTTGTATTCCACACAAAACTCCTCGGCAATGTCACCGTCGGTATTTTCGGGACAAATGATGGGATCACCCCTGGCGGAGAAGGACCAAGAGGTACGACGCCGCTCCGCTTCAGCCCTCTCTTGTGCCTCTCGTTGCTGGCGTTCTGCTTCATCCCGGCGTCGCCGGGCCTCTCTTAACTCCTCCTCCAGCTTCTCGCTCTCCCGCCTCTTTTCCTGGCTCCTCTGCTCCTGCTTCTTGACATCCTCGAGCTCCTTCTCTGTCTTTGCGATCTCGGACTTGACGGCCTCCTCGCGTAGTTTCGCATTTTTGCGGAGCTCTTCCAAACGCTTCTGGCTCTCTTCCTGAGCTTCCTCATGTTCCTTTTCCCAGTCCAGGAGCTTGCTGAACTCCCTCAACTGTTGGACAAATCCTTGCACAGCTTGTTGAAACTGACCTGGGAGAGTCAAATGCCCACCGCCAAGTAAAGATTCCCGACTCATACCAAGTCTGCTCACGTGTTCGGGGATAGCCAGCGCGAAACCCGTTTTAGCCCCACCAACCAAGTGATTCAGGTCCGCTCGTAGCTGCTCTTGGCTCCTGACAGTGCACTTGAACAACCAGAAAATTCTCGCGACGAGTGGGATCACTTGGCATAACAACCTGGTGAAGTGAGACCCCGCCCTTTCCCAGCGAAACATTGTAATTACTACCCTAGAAGTCGAAGCACCATTTACTTAATAGCCTTTTCCACTCCACACACACAATGATTGTCTTGCGGTTTTGCAATGTTTTACACTACGAAACCAAGATCAACCAATTTAAAATATTTTAAACATGGTCTTGGACCTCCAGGGATTGAATTAGTCCAAGGCTCACACGAGGATTGTTGCCATACAATGGCTCGTAGAAGTCAATGAAGTTCCCCGGGAGCTTCGTGCCAAACTCATGGGAGTTCGCCAATGCAACCACTGCGAGCCACACCCAGTTCCTCAGGTCAGGCATCTCTGGAGGAGACAGCATGAGACAGCAAGCAACTGTTCCAGCTGAGCATGATGTTTCTCGAAACGAATCATATAATTGAATGAAAAAGCTCCAGAAAACTACTCCAAATCTACCGTTTGCATGGCCCAAACTTATATAACTATAGGACCAGGCTCGAGACTCCACAACAAATCACAAACCAAGCAAATTCAAAAGCTGCCATCTTTCGCCAAGATTCATGCTTGCGGACAGCAACTGAGAATCGCGATTGCTTGAGCCAGGGATTGCTTGAGCCGACAACTGGACCATCCAGAGGTGAAACAGGAAACCCTCCCATGTCATGACAGAAGTCCCAAAGCTGATGGTGAAGAGAGGCCAACAGAAACATGTTTAAGTCTGCCATACCTTCATCGTGATATGCAAAATCTGAATCAGCATTTGATCCTTTAGACCGCTGTAGACACTCAGCGTGTTGCTTGGGCAATAGCTTTGGACACCCCTTCTTCGACCGATGTCGGTCCGCCCGGTCGGGTGGCCCGGACCGAGGACTCCGAGCATTGCACATCTCGGAACCTGTCGGACACCCAGGTCGCAGGCGGCGTTTGGAACCCAAATAACACATGGATCTAACATGATCTAAAGAAAACAGGAACAGGTCTAAAAGGAAGAACATCCTTTCAAATTTCGCACATAATTACTGGATTGAGCCTTAGGGCTCCCGCATGCATGATTCCAAGGATATATATATATGAAAACACAAAGGAAAACTGGTCCGGGAAAAAAGACTCGGGGTGTTTAAAAACATGAGAAGGCTCGGCGGCTCAACCGCTGGAAGAATGACTCTAGGATGGACCGGAGTCCTTTTTGGGGTGGGGCCTCGCACCCCAAACCCACAAAAGCTACTGTGAGTTTACATCCAGGCAGCTCCTTCGCTTCAATATTTGGGGTCAACCAGTGTCCCAGTCCCAGGCTACATGGACCTACACAAAAACAAATAAAATCACAATACAGTCCCAAAATGGGCGAATCATGGCGAATCTTTCTATTTTGCACTCGCATCGTTTTGCCGGGTTTGGGAAATGTGCAACATCTCCCTATGATTGCTTTCTACACTCTTGGTAACATGACTCTCAACCTGCAAATTCATCCCAAAGACCCAAAGACCTTTGCAACACTTAAGCTCACAACTCAGCAATTCTCACTGCAAAGCTGCTGCCTTAAGGTTTCACTATCAAAAAAAGGCAATATTGTATTGTTCTGTTCTAAATATTTTCTCAAGTTTGGGGGCATGGTTTGACCTTCAAAGAGCAAAGAACGAATGAACCTATCACTGCTGATATCACTTAATTGATCATGTTCTAGCCTTATTGTTTTCTCAAGTTCTAAAGCAATTCTAGAACATGAAGACCTGCCATTCTTTAAACATATTTACGCTCTCCTTCATTTTTGTACAATCTCAGCTCATGATGGTTATCCAGCAAACCAAACATGCTGGCCCCTCCTCATCTCCCCATCACCAACGCTCCCTCCCCTTCTTTCCTGGTCCGAAGGGTTCACTCGCAACATGTGTTGGCGAAGCTGATGATCTACTTCAATCACCTATGCGCCCTCCAAAAAAAACATGATCAGTGTTTAAAAACGGCCTCTTAGTGGAGGAAGACCGCCTTCGAATGGGGCCATGTGTCTAATGTTCTTTGGTTTGCCCGGCTTGCCCCTTTCTTTTCTTGGTGTACCAAACACCGATCGATCCTCCGATCCTTCGAAGAGGATCGATCGTTGGATCGTTCCCAAAGCTCCGAACCTCAACTCTGTCTCATCCTTGAGGAACAAAGGGCGAGGAGGAGCATATTGCCTCATGCTCAGGGAAGCTGATTGATGGGTCTGATGGGTCTCTCTGGCTCTCTGATGGCCTGAGACGAAAATGACTCGCTTTTACTACGTAGCTGGTGAGTGCTTCATGTTTCAAGGGGTGAGTGCTTCATGTTTCATGAACTCCTGGGCATGTCAAGCAGCTGCATCTGGGGCATGTCCTAAGCTTGCAACCGGTTCTTGCCATCCTTCCTCAACGTCGAGCCCCACCTGCTTGGAGCGTCCAGCTCCAAGACCAAGCGCTGGTCAGAGCGGTTCGGCGGTCGGTGCAGTGGGTGTTTTGGCAGCAGAATGCTCGCGCAATCTCGTCACTGGGCTGCTGGCAGAAAGATTTCCTGAGCTGGACCGGTGCTGGCATATATAGACAATATATATATAGACATCCGCTTGTTCGTATGGTCCTAGACTTCTCTGGCATTCTATGCTGGTCACTCCTCTCCTATGACTTGCAGGCCGATTTCAGGTGTTGCTGGCAAAACAAGCTAAACCTATAGCCTAACGCCGTCATTCTTTGCCGTCAGCATCCTATCGTTTCCTGCACCTCCATGCCGCAGAACTCCCTTCTCGCCGAGCGTCGCCGGTGTCGGTGCGGGAGGCCCCGAAGCTCGGGCCGAAGCTCAGCTGTTGCCACTTGCAGTTGTTCCTCAGAACGCCATGCTCGGTGGGCGGGGAAGCCATGGTCGGTGGGTGCAGAACGTCATGCTCGGTGGCTTGGTGGTGGCGGGTCCCAAAAAGGTGGGTCCGATCATCCAGAAGAAAGGTTCTGAGACCATGCGAGGTGTTGGTTTAAAAGGACTGACTAAAGGATGTTAAAAAACATACCAACGTAGCAGATTTGATTTAGAACCTCGATCTATGTACGTAGATGCAGATGTTTTTCATCAAAACTGGCGTGGTTGGTTGGCAGCTCCAGCTTATGAGGCATTAAAGATCATGGTACTGATCACGCTCCACAGATATCACGCTGGGCTACCCCCATGACGAAGACAACTCACTCAGATGGGCACTGCTCAGCATATTGTCTGAACCAGGCCGCCTAGGCGCCGTTGGACGGGCGCAACTTGGGCTGTCTTTAGACCATGAAGACAACTGGCTAACGCCTCGCCCCTCGTTTCAAAGCACCTCATAGCAAGAGAACAGCGACCATAACTTTCTGGGAGAGGGCCACTTCAAAAGAGTTTGCCGGTCCCAAAGAAGCCTCCGAAAAGGGTCAGTCACGGTACGTCATTTCGTCCCAGAATTGGTTCCAAGAGGGTTATACGGGAACATCTACGGGAAATCCATCTATGAAATCCATATGTTCTTGCATTATAACATTATAACTTGCACTATATATTATATATATTATATATAGCTTCGTTTTGGGGGATGAAAACCCATGGGTTTCCGGTACGATCTTCCCGAAGGAATGCCCTGCCCTCGGACGCTCGGCTCGTCCACCTCGGTGGGCGCGTGGATGCCGGTCTCCGGCGCGCGCGCCGCCTCGGCGGCCTCGGCCAGGGGTGGTTTTTGGGGCGGCAGTCCTATGGCAGTCCCATTTGAGTCGTGTCTGGGAGGCCGCCTTGTTTCCGAAAATTAAGACCAGGCCCTGTTTTTGTTCAGATGGTCCGAAGACCAGGCCAGGGGTGGAGAACTGATTCGTCCATGATTTTCAGGGAGTGGATGAAGTGGTAGGACTGGGTATACGAAGTCATGACAAGCTTGTGAGAAGAGCATCCTACCACAATAAATAGAGTTTTGCAATAGATCAAAAAGCTCTCGATGGATGCTTTGAGCATGGCTGGATGCATGGCTTTCCCAACAGGTTCTCCCTTCTAGGTGTCTCCATATATCCTTCCTCTCACAGATCCTTCGCTTTCCGATCCCTCGGGCGACTCACACCTCGCAGACCGGCCAACATGCATGATGTCCCCAAACCTCAGGCGATCCAGGTTTTGCGCCCCTCGTCGTTGGAAGACCATTGCAACCCTTCGGTCTCCAAGAAAAACGGATGGTCTTCGTGCTATAGACAGGTGCAAGACCACGCAGACCATCGTGGAGCTTCGGTGTGTCGGTGTAGTCTTTCTTTTTGGAATGCGAACATCTGATCTGGTTTTGTTGGGCTGAAGCCGCTCGGAGTCTCAAGAGTGGCCTTTGGGATCTGTCATGATCTGAAGTCGTTCTTCCTCTTTCGACTGATCTGATCTGTCCGAAGAGGATCACGTTTCCTCTTTCTACCCGTTCTGTCAGATCACTCGAACTGACTCGCTCCACTCACGGTGCGGTACGCGCGCGCGTCAGCCGAAGGGACGAAGACCTGAGCCCCACTGGCGAAGGGCTCCGGTTGGCACTTGTTCCATGAGTGCGCCTCAATTCGGACACGGAATTCGTGTCGGAGTGAGTCCATTGAGATCATGATGTTGGTCTGTAATTCAAAGTTCATTGATTCAATAAATATTCCATATGACAAGATGATAGAAACGTTTGTGTTTTTGTTTGCGATACGGGGCTCCATTTCTGGTGCCAATGCATGCAACATGTGCATGTTTGGCTTCCACGGCTGTTTGAATCCGCAACCGATCCGCCACCACCGTTTTTGGCGCGGATCGGAACGGATTGGAGTGAGGCCTAAAGACCACCGGACGACCAGATCGGAGGGTTCACCAGCGTTTTGCAGCTCTTGAACCCGTTCTGCAGCCAAGTCTGAGTTGCTGGCAGAGAAGTCTTCCTCCTCTTCCTGAGATCGGACATGGAGTTCATGGGTCAGCAAATGGTTCTTTCTTTTTCAGCTACAAGCGATACCTATTCCAAGAAGCCGGGATGAGCAAAAATCCTCCACTGGCATCGCCTATGCCACCTGAAATCCCAGTTCCTTCCGGTTTTGAGTCCCATCCAGAGTGGAAAATACATGCGCACCCCCATTTTGGCACCCTCGGAACTTGTTCAGATGGACTCCCACACTGCGAGGATTTCTGACCCACATGACCGTCAAAGTCTCGACCCGACGTGGCGACGTGCCTCATCTTCCTCCTCGTCCAGCAGTAAGTGTCCCTTGCTCAAAAAGAAGGACACTCCTCGCACCAGCTACTGCAAACGTCTGTCATTCTGCCGATTCTGTTTTGATATGGGGGACAACGGGTTATGCCACTAAATCACTAAATCGTGAGTGTCTTTCACAGAAAAAGACAAACACTGATGCCTCCTGCACCCAGAGGAAAGAATGCTTTTCCATGTACCTGACTGGTGCTGCGGGCATTGCTTGAAAAAGAGGCAATCCGGCAATCTACTAAATATGCTGGACACCAGGCATCATGTGAATGAAAGCTTTCTTGCAGCCCTGAGTTCCCCTCAGCATTGGTCGAAGCGATGCCGGTCATGCTAGACCACCACTTCTGCATATCATGCTGAGTGTAAATCCAACTCATTTGCCTTGTCGGAAGGCAAAGTTCTCTAAGTCTTCACCCGAATCTGAACCAAAAAACACCTTCCAGGGAGCCCGACTTTCCCACGTGGAGCAGCTCGGCAGAGCTGACCTCGGCAGAGCTGCCCGAGCTCGGCCGCCCAGTCCGATCAACGTCAGCTGACTCCCCTGCTCCACCGTGTTCCGCTTGGCTGAGTCCCGGGACGCTTGAGCAAGTGTCGACAGCACCTCCGCACACGAAAATGGCGCGTCGCTGGCGTTTCGCGTGGTCGGCGACCGCGGTGGAAGTGAGCTTTTTGCGACGGGCGCTTGCGGCCGCTTGCGTTTTGGGCATGTGGAGGAGCTTCAGCTACTTAAAACGTGTTGATGGGATCTCGGACATCTCACGAACATCTCATTTTCTACCAAGCTATATCAGCAGTTCACTAGCCTGCTAGAGCAAACCTCATCTGCCCGTTTCATCTTAAACCAGCTAGTGAGTGTCCTCCAAGAGACGGAACACCATCGCAACCCAGCAGGGTGTTCCACGTTCCCGTACAAAGCTTAACACATGAACTAAAATCCTTACCCCTAGGGCTCCAAGTACCTTCGTTTCGAAGGCGTTTGGGGTGGGTTTAGAAGGGTCCAAATACCTTCTGAGGAGGTACTTGGAGCCCTAGGGTACATGTTACAAACCGGGAAGGTGCTTGCGCACCATTTCCATCCATTTCCTGTCTCTTGATGTCTCTTTGCAACTATAGATTAGATTGATATGTTGTCCGTATCTCAAATGATATCTATCCATTTGAGGTTGGGTGACCCATGTAAGATCCCAAATTTGGGGTCCTCCTTTTGAGTCACATCGCCATCAATGGCCATGTCCCGTCCCCGAAGGTCCCAGGGCAGCTCGCCTCAAGGGTTGAAGCGTCCTCGCCCACACCATGGGGTGCTGCGGACAGACTCACAGCGGAGGATGGGGATGTTCAAGCTTAGTGGATTGGGGGTCTGTCGGCTTGGGGGCTGGTAGGCTGGATGGCTGGATGGTTGGTGCAAACGAAGATTTCGCTAGATCGGTTTGGGTAATAACATCGGTTTCGTGCCAGTGCGGCGTTCGTTTCGTGCAGTTGCGCATCGTTTGTTGCATGGTCCGGCGGCATAGTACTGAGTCAGGAGTCATTCTTTTCCATGCATCCAGCGGATTTCACGTGTCTTCTCCGGATCAGAACACTGCACGAATGAAAGCTGCTCGCTTCTTTTATGTCTTTCATAATCCATGTGCAGTTCAACTAAACCTACCCTCCAAGTGTCACAGCAGCGGAGGAAACACAGCAGAGCTCAGCTCATTGCAATTGGATTTGTGTCAGAAATTCATTCCACTCTTCTGTCTTCTTCTCTTCATAAGTTCATGGATGCAATCAAGTGCTTGGCTAGGAAGGCCTGCTACCCAGTAGACAAGCCTCAAAGCTGTAGTGGCCGCTCAGTGGTCACTTGCATGTCAAAACCACCCGTCGCGAGTCGCGGGTTTTGAGGGCTGCGACAACATTGTTGGTTCATTCACCACACCTGCTCAGCGCCTCAAAGTCCTCACAAATGACTGATTCGTTGGTTTCTGGGTTCAGGTGTCTGAGCCTTTTTCTTCCAGCTGACTGTTGCAGCTTCTGCGAGAAACCAATCAATCATGTACTAAATAGACGTGCCGATCAGGCCATAAGGAACGAGCTTGCCTCAAGGACGCACCGAACCACGACCATGGAGTTACAGTCAAGGGCAAGGGTCACAGAAAGCAGAAAAAACACCTGGATTCCATCCTGCACCAACTAACTAACTGATCCAATGTTCCACTCCTAATGTTCAAATACTCCTGGTTCCATCCGATCCTGATCCTATATGTTCCAAACCACCTCGGCTCCCACAACCAAAACACCACCTCCACCTTCTCCCTAGCGACCCCCCCAAAACACCGCTCCGATCCCCGGGCGCCGGGGATGAGAATCGCTCCGGCCGCTGCCAGCGCCAGCGCCGCGGCCGCCGCGGCGGTTGGCGAGGCCCACGGTTCGTCGTCGAAGTCTTCGCGCGGCGGTAGGGGCGACTCCCTGGTGGCGAGTGGAGTGGAGGAGACACGAGAATGGTGGAAAGCATGGGTTGAAGCAGGTCGAAAGATGTTCTGAAAAGCCATCTGAGATGGATGTTGACGAGAAAAAGCGGAGGAGGAGGAGGAAGCACAGGAATAACAACATGATGATGATTATTATTTTGATGAGGAGGAGGAAATGACCGTGACTCCGAGAATGAAGGAGATCATCGAAGAAGAACCATAACTGTAACTGTAGACTCTTGATAAACTATATAAACTATCCCAATTTGGATTGAACAACCTCTTCATGTGGGGGTATTCATTGAACAACGTCTACAATTCACTAACCAGTTCGAACGATCTCCATTCGACGCTTCGACTCGCCTCGACGCCAGGAATCTCGCCGCCCAGCCAAAGAGCGCGGAGGAGCACACCGTGGCATTGGCATTGGGACCGAGCCGTCCTACGGCACCCAGGAGCAACAAGACTCCGGTACACAACCTGGGCGAAACCAGGAGACGGGTTGGACTGATGGAGCTGGCTTCTCTAGTCATGCCATAGAAGGCGTAGAAGATCTCTGGATTAAAACATCTCACAGCTTTGAGCAGTGAAAAGAGTCTCATTCTCCTCTAACTGCTGTTTTGGCTCCGCCCGATTGGAACGGTATTGATTTGGAACCTCCGGTGATCTTCCAATCGGACGGTAACTGGTGGGTTCACCAAATCCGGATCCCAGGCCATGGCGGCCATCGTCTGGTTTCATGTCTTCATTCTTTTTGAATGGCTATAGTTGTGCCGATCAATTGGTGAGAGGGGGCATGGTGCACAAGACACATCTATTGAACTATTGGATGCATGGATAGCACGGAGATCCCAAATCGCTTATAGATGTCATCGCATGGTAAGACCCAGAAATTCACCTGCAACTATTAAGACCATCGCGTGGTCAAGCGGTATGGATGCTAGCATTTGGTTGCACCATCTTGCACCCATTTCTGTACCAGTGGAGTCATGAATCAGAAAAACAACGGCAATGTGCTTCCACAATAAGGCTGGCATCGCATGTACTTAATTTAATCTTATTACACCCCTTAACTGTACTGCACTTCACATGGACTGATTGACATCGAGCGGAACGTGAGCGATGGCGGTGCATGCTCGATATGAATCACAGCAAGCTGCTCGATGAATTGCAGCGGACGAGGTCCAAACAGGAACCTCCCCGGCGCAAAAGAGACCGCGGTGACGAAGAATTGGGGTCGAAGAATTCCCCGAGAGTCTGAGGCCATCCCAAAGAAACCCCATTTGTGGTCCAATGATATCCATACTTGGGAATGATAGAGAGGGATCGTTGACATGTCAGGTACCACCTACTGGTTGTACACAACAAGGGATATCCCATCAATAATTCAATAGTAAAAGGACAACTATGATGTGATCCGGTGTAGTGACACGTTCTTTTCCCGGATCCAGTCGTACCTTCTCAGGTACGGTGAGGACGGAGACTATATCTATATATAGGCGCCAGGAGGGCCCAGTCGTACCTAAGCTGAGGTTCGGTACGACTGGATCCGGTCTCGACGAGCGGTTCCGAGGAAGCCACCGGGACCTCGCTGCGAAGAGGATTCGATCCCATTGACATCCGATCCCATCCAGGTACTAAGGCTGAAGTTCACCTCTGAAGTTCAAGCCGCTTTTGAACGTCGTTTCCAGTCCCTTCTTCTTTGGTATAATGGTGGAACGGAAGCCTCTGGAACAGCATGTTCTCCAATCATCACAATGAATCTGCAGGCTTCACCGGGTTTGCCTCGAGAGCGCCCATGACTGGCCTGTTCTTGTTTTCCCCAGTTCCGAACCGATCGACCGATCTCGACCGCTGGCATGATGCCTCGCCAGGAGGTGCCCGTCACAGCCGCGCAAGGGCAGAAGTTGCACGGCTTGGGAAGTGAGAGCCAGGCTGCCGCTGAGCAAGAGGGGGTCGACCCTCAGTGTTTTGCGAGCAGAAAGTCGGACTAAAATGTAGGTGGATGGTCCCCGATTTTCGCCTTCAAGCTATCGCGTTTCTTTTTCTTGTGACACTATAGAACATAAACATATTGACGTCCGTACATTTCGCGGCATCATTGGTTTGTTTCACCTATTATGTCTTACTCTTTTTTGTTTCTGGTCAAGGGACGTGACCTTCGCAGGAGCACTGGCTGCAGCTTCCCCACTGCTCAAGCTCAGGACGGTTCGAACCGCATCGTCGGGGAAGGAATCGCCCAAAGCTTGTGCCAACAGCAGCGGCAGCCGCGTCACCTGGAAACGCTGGACATGTCATTGTTGTGATCGTCGAAAACCGCGCGAATCGCTTCGTCCGCAGGGAAGGTTCAAGAGAAGAAGCGATTAGGAAGCGATCAGTAAAGGATCAAGATCCCTGACAGATGTCCAAAGGAAAGAAACATCACAAAACATTTCATGAACTATAAGAGTTGGATCCGTTTTGATTGAAGAATGTATGCACTGGATTGCCACGGATTCAGGAAGAACCTCAAGTCCCATGCTTGGAGCCCTCTCCTCACACCCCGCTTCATCTTCCGAACTGACTCCAGCACCAAGTCCGCGACCAAAGAATGGGATCGATGGTATTTCAAGTAAAGGTTGAACATCGAAATATCCAACACAAATATCTAGAAAAGACCGCAGTGTTCTGCACCGATTTCACCACACCAACCAACTCACCGACCCTTCCCCGCACCCAGCACCCGAACCCTCGTCGGAGGCGCGGCGCCTCGACCAGCAGCAGCCCGTCGGAGGCGTCGCCCCGCAGGACGCCCAGCAGACACAGCGCCAGGGCGCCGCAGAGCCCGGCGTAGGAACCCGCCAGGGTCACGTCGATCTCCGTGCGGCGCGAGGGCGCCAAGCTGCGGAGATGAGATGAGGGGGTGTGAGGGCGATGTGGATGATCAGGGGTTCGGTGGATCACTTTAAGGGATGGTAAGATCCCTTTAGGGATCAAAAACCTGCGAGGTGGGTGGTAAGATGAGTATATGTCTGAGTGGTGGATGATAAGGGGGTTCGGTGAGGTACTTCTTTTGAGTCTGACAGAAGCGCATGGAATCAAAAGAGTTTGCAAGCAATGTATGACCGCAGGTTTGTTATAATGTGATTCATGCTAGCTGTCATCTTTCTCATGTTGGAGCCGTTACTGCTTCATCACCCCACTACCATCCACTACCTCTTACTTACAGACCTCGTCACTTCCTTCTCAGTCTCAGCTTCCGACCCGGCAAAGCCCCAAGTGCGCCCCAGAGTTCCCAAGCTGGAAGAAGGGATGAAGTATCCTCCACGGATTTTCGCATCGTTCAGTTCAGCCACCTGCCGTCGGACTTGTCGCCCGGGCGACGCGGCGTTGACGCGACGCGTCAAAAGGCGATGCAAATGGGAAGAGACCCGTTCATTGTCCTTTGACCTCCAGTGATTTCGTTGGGGGAGTCAGCCAAGAACGAGTTGTTACATTGTTGCGCTTGGATAAACATTTCTCCTACGTCCAACCGTGTGAGGGGGGTAGTGGATCACCAGTTATTAATCACCCAGACCGAACAACTGCAGCAAGAATGGAGTGACCCCCCAAGTATCGTCTTTCAGCACAGTCCACAAACTTTCTCCAGACCCAAGTGGGGAGTGACACACCCTGGCTGATCAACACTCTTACTATCTCCACCCAGATCGATGATGTATCGTACACACACTTCGTCCAAAAATGCACAGTCCACAACACCAGGGCCATGCGGACCTCCCACCGCTCCCTCCTGGCGTAACAAACGTCAGATCTCCTACCCCCCTTACGTGGACAGCGCATCCCACCCGCCCCGATCGCGGACCGCGGACCGCCTGCTTCCGCGCGAAGCCCTGCGCGAAGAGCATGAGGAAGAGCCCCACGCCCACGGGCACCACGCCATCGGCGTCCAGACGCGTCACGGCGACGCCCAGCATTGGACTGTAGGTCACCTCCTGTCACGTCTACGTGGCGCAGGTGGAGTGGAGTGGATGGTTGGCTGCTTGGAGCGGGTTCGAACACTGGTTGACTTGACGTCTTCTTTTGCAGGGGTTTTGGGGCAGTGGACGTGCCAGCCAGATAGAGATGATAGGGGTAGCGGTTTGCCTTGATGGCAATGTATTCCGAAATCCACCTTCAAAGGGTACATGTCACATGAACTGCTCTCCAGCCCTGTCCTCCACAGACTTATTCAGAAGCAGATCACTTCGTTCGCCATTCAACGAACCCACCGCCGCAGCGATGATGTTGCAGAAGGAGGCCGTGGCTGCCAGCGAGGCTCCGATCAGCAGCCGCCTGTGCCCGTCGCGGTGCCCGTCGAAACGTCGACTCCGAAGGGCTGTAGTGGCGACGTCTTGGGAGTTCCCATGGACGTCAAGTGCTTGGGAGGTAGGACCAATAAGTAGATCCTGAATTTGCTTATAGAAAGATCTATGTTTTTCAGGGTCTGTGTGAAGGTCACAGAACGAAAACCATCTACCACGAAAAGCAACGTGTCCGTCATTTCTGAAGAGAACCTCACTTCGTTGAGGTACACATCCTGAGGTCTTCGAGTGCGATAGATTCTCGAAGTCGATATCAACTTGGCACGACAAAGGTGTCATCGGCCAGGATGGTCGGTATCACACAAGACGGACGACAGGAAGAACCGATCAGCCAAGAAGCGACAGCATAGTCAAAACATGGCTCGAGAGAAATCATCCTTTGCACTGGACTCGAACGGTGTTGGAAAACTATGGAGGGGGACCCGGGTATCAAGTCAATAAGTCCTGCTGTTCTTAGTCAACCAGGTGCTTCACCATCCAGATCCTTTCAAGAACAGACTTATATCATCAAACCACATGGTCATTCCAGCATGACCCAACTGGTTTGAAGATCCATTGTCCCGGATTGCATCCAAGAGTGAAAAAGCCCAGGAAGCTCAAGCCATCCTCCTAAACCCACAGAAATCTCGCCACATGAGTTTCATGGTGATCTGTGCGATGTCTGTCTCCGATACATTCCGAAATCCTCTTTAAGTCACATCTCTGGGCTCCAATTTGGCCCTTTCCAGGGGAAAAGGAACATCACCAGGTCAGCTGCCCAGAAGGTCGGCCTGAAATTGTTGGAACTGTCTTCGATTGGCAGGTCTGAAGCCCGAAACACCAGGAGCGCAGCGGAGCACTCCTCCGTCCGTTCGGCTTCTTCCGCTTCTTCCGCACGCACGTCCGGACACGACGTCCAACGAACGGGAGCGAAAAGCTCCAAGGGGGTTTACCATCATTTTCCTTATTGGTGGTACACGACCAGGGAGTATCCCCTCGACTCATCAACAGAACAAATTACTGTATAACAGTAATATGGCAAGAATCTTCTTTGTCTGGTTTCTATTGTGCCTCCGAGTTGGTTCCTAAATTTCAGGAATAGCAGATTCCGTAAGCAAGCGAAACGTGCTTTATGGGACTGACTGACTAGTCGTGTTGACGAACGAGTCCATACCATTCCGGCTTCCCAGCTTTGCGCATTTCTGCGTAGCATCTCACCCACCTCCCTCCAGCTTGGAACCTCTGTGCTTGGAACCCCTCCTTCTGCGCGGAGTCCACCTTGGCCGGGTCAAATTGCCCCTTGGGCCACAGGCTCAGGCCCGGCGCCGGCGGAGGCCGCTCCCGTTGGAGGAGAACCTCGGTACGTCTACGTCGTACACGCCGTGGTCGTTGGTCGGGGGTGCAATGATTGTTTATGGAACCGGATCGACTTGGAGGAAGAAACACGGGGCCTTCCCGAAATCCAGCTCATTCTACGTCGATGTCCTCCAGGTTTCCGCAACACCATTGGTCGAGCGATGGCAACGGCCAGCTCTTCTCAGGCTCCAAATGGAAAGTGATCGAGTCAGCCAAGGAGTTCGCAGCCCAATGGATCCATGCAACGTGCGAACGAAAAGAGTGGGGACATAGCCCTCAATTCCTTCTTCTGTGGGACATGGCCCTTCCGTGGTTTTCGGCGATTACACGTGAGGTCCTGTCCTCCATCACCAGATCACAGAGAGTGTGAAGGAAGATCTTCTCAAGACACTGGATGGATCCAAATAGAAGTCTCCATCCTTAGAAGGGATGGAGACACCTCAGAAATCCATCAGTCTCCCTTCATCCTCCAACTCCATCAGTCTCCCTTCATCAGTCCCCCTTCATCCCTTCTCCATCCCTTCATCCTTTTTCACCTCCAACTCCCTAAGACTCCCTTCATCGCCTCGCCTCGCCTCGCTCTTTCCCGGCACCAAGGGACCACATACTTCCCTGCCCCATAGCGTTGGTCCAGCGAGGCCTGTCGCTGCTCCACGAAGGAGCGCGGCGTGCCGCGACCGCCCACGTCACGCCTCAAGGGTTCGAACGTGGCAACGGCCGGAGGAGCAAAGAGGAATACTGAAGATGGCAGGTTTTGGTCTACCTTCCCTTGGGCCAATTCATCGATTTGGTGTTTGTACATGTTTGTACTCTATCTTCGATCCATAACCAATCGTCCAAAAATCTCCCAAACTTCAAGTATATGATGACAGTCATTATGTGGACACAATGATATCAGAGCTTCACCAATTCCCAGGGTTTCCTGCACTGGATGCCGGAAATTCAACGCTTGTATGGTAGATGGCCTTCTTCTCTCGCACCAGATCTGTTAAAACATGTTAAAACCAACATCTCCGCGAATTGGAATCGCTTCCAGGTCTCCCGGATGGGTCTTTCGGCTTCCACGAGTGGAGCAGATGGTTCTGACTGGTGCTGGTGCTGGTCGAGTGCGATCGAGTGGTGGTCAATACGAAGCATTCGACTTGGTCTTTCGTAGAAGCAAGAGATCTGAGCAGCATGACCACGAAAATGATCTGCGCTTCCAAGAAACGGTCTACAAATGCTGGGGTGTTGGAACAGAAACGGCCGGTTGAGTTTCGAAAGTGTTTGTGTTCTTTGCTCGCTTCTTCATTGTAAATGGCGGTACCAATGAAGATTTGATTACCCATGGAGGTGCGCAAGTGATGTGTTGAGTCATTGGGAGCTGCAAGGCTTCAATTTGCATTGCTGCATCACATCGCATCTGGAAACTCAGGGCAGTACCATTCCACATTTTATCAACGTTGCTAAACCAGGACCCTCCAAGGGGTGCCCAATGGAAGCCTATAGCTATTGTGGGGTAGTCCATTGGACACCCCGACAGGAGGGTCCAGGTATAGTTCACCAGTCAACATCTGGCAAAACTCCACAACCACTGACCACCGACCACTCTCTCTGGCGATTCCAAGTCGCGCCAGCAAGCCTCGAACCACCACACAGCGGCCAACATTCAGATCTCGGGCGGAGAGGAGAATACTTGCGGCCCGGTCGATGAACATGTCTGGCGACTTGTTATACCAAGTAGGAAGTGTTCGTCGGCCAATCAATTGACATGAACAATGAAATGGGATAAGTGTTTGTCTTGACGGACGTGTTTTTCGGCCTAATAAACCAATGGACATGATGCGTGCAATGGGAAGAGTCACTTTAGTCCTATACGTGTGGGCGAGAATGTTCACCATCCCTCCGATGGACGAACATGGCCTCCGTATCTTGTCGGGACATTGGAAAGTGGTCAGGACAAGTAAAGAATTCTCTGACGCAACACATGGAGGTACTTCCTCAAATCAATCCACCTTGAACAAATCTTGTTGTGCCCTGGTCGATCCCCATCTCGTCCCACAAAGAACATCTTCTGAGAAAGGACAAATTGTTGTTCAGCCGTCCAGGAAAAAAACTCTTTCAGTCCACTTCTCCAACTGTGTGGTTCCTCTGGGCATCTTCCCCCCACCAAAACCACACATGCCAACCATCTCATCTCCGCCTCCAAAATCCACCCCAAATCACTCCAAAACTCATCCGCCAAAAACACAAAAACCAACAACCGACCAACCACCCAGAAAACGACCCGCCACCCAGACAAAAAAAAGGACGACGACGACAACGACCCAGAGGTCTCCCTGACCACTCCATCTCCGTCACCGGGGCACTGCCGGTCACGGTGAAGCCGCTGCCCGGCAGCTCCAGGGCATCGCGCACGTCTCCGGGCGGCGGGAGTTCCCCCCGCGCCTGGCGACGGCGACACGGAGACGGTGATGGTGAGGAGGTAACGGTGTGGAGGGAAGGGAGAGATGAGAAGGAGAGGAGGAATTTCTATGATTCTTTTTGCAAAAAAATGAAGATCTGAAATTGCTTTCAGAGTGACTTCAGAAAGATTCTGTAGGAATTGGATTGGACAGAGTGGAATGGTGTAAGTGGATGATGTTTAAGGATGTTTAAGGGATTTTCGTAGAATGAATTCTTGCAGAAGCTTGCTCTATTGAATCATGTATAATGTATGTGAATTGGATCCATGTCCATCAAATCAGCTCTCAGTCTCCATTTCATCCAACTTGTACAGAAATCAACCACTCCAACCAGCTGCCAGACCGACGCACGTTTTCTGCTCGACCGGTCGGCCGTCCTCCTCGAAGAGCGCCGACAGCAGCGGCAGCGTGCCGGGGCCCAGCGCGTCGCGAAAACGCGCCACGTCCGCCAGCTGCTGAGAATCGATTTCGATCCTCGCGACGGCGAGGAGGAGAGGACGGTGGACGCCGGTGGAGAGCGCAACCGGACATCGGACATCCGCGGAACATGGAAGTTCTGGAGGGTGCAAAGAAAAAATAACGAAGGTGGATAGACAAAAGGTGACAAAAGAACAAGCTGACTGGTATAGTATCGTAATACTTGCATGGATATTATGGATCATTGTTTTTATATTGTTTTTATATAAACCGGTTTTCAGAACACAATATCACATCCAGGATGTGGCAAAGCTTGCTATATCAAACCGAAGGGCGTTGGCAAATCGAGGATCGTGAGAACCTCAGTGCACGATGCAAGATGACCGTCCGTGTCATGCGAAAGCACATTGGATGCGGCTGAAATGAGGCGCCCAAAAACCCACAGGTTTTATCGATTTGGATGGTTAATATGATTCTCTTTTTGAGCCATGGCCACATGAAGATCCGCTAGATCAAAAATGTCAGAAGTGTCCGACCCATTCTTAGACTCGGACCCAAAAGTGAGGTCTTCTTCCAAAACACACACACACACACAAACAATTATTGTATGTCCGGGAAGTTGTCCGGGAGGGGTGTGTTTGTAAATCAGCGTCGGTCCACCCTGCCCATCCCATTCGAACTCCCGGATGTCGAGAATCGGTGGTGTTCATCGTACTTTGTTTCAAAGGGCTCGAGAGACACCGAATGGACATGGAACATGGAAAAATAGCGTGGTTTTTTTTTTGCAAAGTTCCTTTGGTACGACACCTCATGACACCTCCACCGGCCCAACGGCCGCCATTCATCCGCTTTCACCGTGGGTGGGCCCCCACCGGTCGGTGCCAAAGACCGCCCAAGGCGCTTTCGGACGTTCGTCGGCTTCCAGGTCTCGGGGTTCAGCAAAGTCCTGCAGGTTTAGCAGGTATTTCACCGTGTTAGAGACTGCAGGCGCTTAAGACAAGCATCAGGATACAGATACTGTACACAAGTATTTATACTTATGAATCTATATTATCTTTTCACAGGACTTTTCATCATGGCAATTACATTATGTTCCAAACCATTTTCACCCCTTTTCGCCCCCACCTTCGGAGCCGTCTCAGGTACCGGCGCTACCGCCGTCTCCGTGGCGGCCGCCGAGGACGCGGCGGCCTCCGTTTCGAGGTTTCGGCGCCGCCGGGCCACCGCTTCTTGTTCCAGCTCCAGGTTCTTGGCCTGGCGCTGGAAGAAGGTGCGGGGTGGCAGAGGCAGAGCGCGAATTTTTTCTGCATGGAATCTGAATAACTATTAGGGCTCGGTGGGTGGTAGTGTTGGGTTCTATTCTAACAGGCAGAAAGGACAACCGGCGACGCTTGCCACTTCAACCAACTGTGCATGCTCTACACCTGAAAAAGCACATTGGACATCCCTGGCCCAATAATTTTATGACAATTGGTCTTCAATCGTCCCTCCTCTATAATACCCAGACCCTCCATGTATGTCATATATGCCTACATTGACCCCTCTGGCACCACCCCAACTGATCGGCATATACGGTAGTCCCATGGAGTGTATGGGATAGACTGAATCCGCGGTCGAACGCCTCCGGACGCGCCTTCAACACCTCGTAGGCCGCTTGCCATTCGGCCGCCGATGCGCTGGAACCCGGTGCGCTGGAAGCGGCGCCGGAAGCGGAGCTCGGTTCCAGTCGCTGGCTTCGCTCGATCTCAATGGCATAGGCTTTTTGCCAAAGCTCTCGGGCTTCTTCCTCTTGATGTAGCCATTGGGTGAAACATGTCTGTAGCCAGCATCAGATATTATATGTCTGACTGACTCATATCCTATGTAAACAATGAAACAAACCGTGTTAATTGAACCACCCATTGCAACACACAGATACACACAACCAGAAAAAGAATCTTCTCCAACTCTGGTCCTCTTCATCTCCTTTTCCTCCTTCCACCGCCAGCACCCAGACCTTTCGCACACCTCGGCCGCACCGCCCTCTTCGCACGGCACCCGAGACACCGGAGACGGCGCCCAGGCACGCGCCGCCGGCGACCCACCGGTGGAGGTCGCGCGCGACCCGTCGCGGGCGCCGCGGGAGGCTCCGCGGTGCGCCGCGCGCGGTCGCGGTCACGGTCGCCGGGGGCGCGAGCAGGTGCTCGGTGGCTGGTGGCGGCATGGGACTGATGTGTCGTGCCGGAGTGAATGGAATGCAGGTAAATGGAGAACGAAATGGAAGTAGGGAAGTAAAGTGCATGTGATTTTGGAGAACAGAACATACACTAAATCATGCATTAGATCTGGTGTTTTTTTTGTTTTGCTATTACAGCAACGTTCAACTGTGTGCATCTGTCTGCTAATGAGGTTGAGTTCTGTGTGCCAGTGAATATGATAAGTGAAAGCTGCAAGAGACAACTCCAACATCGCACCATGTTGAACAACACCAATGAAATTATGAAACACCACCTTGCATTCCAACAATCAAACACCAAAAGTGAATGCAAAGCAAACATGAATGAGCAGAACTATACAGGAGATTCTTTATTCACTTCTTCCGAGTGACTGTATATCTTCTCTCCACAATGAACCTGTGCATCCCTTCTATCCCTTCTTCAGTCGCCGCAACCAGAAACAAACACAGCAGAAGGAGAACAGTCAGCAAATCCAGCAGATCACCCGTGTGGGGACTCAAGCGATTAAGGGCGACTGAGGGTCGGGAACTGAGCCCTCAGAGAAAGACGCTTCGACATGGCAACCTGGGCTGCTCCCACCGGTGCGGCGAAGGCGGTCCGAAGAGTCTGGAACACTGGTAGTTCGCCACGAACGGGTTCGCCAACGGGTAGTGTTTACAAAAAAGACATAGAAGGATCACTTGCTTTCCATCTGTGGATATCGTACATTCAGATTCTTCAGATTCGTTTTATATCGTTTTATTTAATTTTTTTGGTGCATTGTATGGAGGTGATTCCTCCATCAGGTGATTCCATGCTGGGCTTCTTCCGGGAAGGACGCTCCTTTCTGTTCCTCACTCGTTCCTCCTTGGCTTCCCCGCCTTTCGAGTGCAGCAGCTCTTCCATGGTGATGTCCTGGCATGGCCCCCCCGACGGCCACCGAGAAGGAACATGCGAAGCCACCGAGAAAGAAACTGAACACTGTAACTGTATACGCTCGCATTCGTGGCACCGTCCATACACCAATAGCCATTAAGGACCATTTGCGGGAAAAGACAGATCGTGAAAACAACAATCTCTATGATTCTCTATGTCCCTCCAACTTGAGAGGTGAGGTGTTTCTGGTGTTTCTTATAACTTTTTTGTAAAGAAGAAAGTTGTATTGTTATATAAGCCGACCACCTCCACTTGACCACAGGGTCCGACTTCCTCACACTCCCATGGCAGGCAGAGCCACTTCCAGCGCCTTGCGATTGAGCCACTTCCAGCGGTTTCGGTGCTCTTCCCGCTGGCGCTTGGCTGCGGCCCGTTCCAGGGACCTCAAGCAGCGAAGTGAGAGAACTATCCATGGAGGAAGGAGGTTAGGTGCCCAGGCAGCTACTCCACTCACTGGATGGGACATTGCACCACCACCCCGAGCTCTGTGACGAGTTTCAGCTGGTTTTCTTTCCTTTCTGTAGATCCTTGCAGTGTTCCGACCTGGTCGAGTCTGATTTTGAACAGTACAAGTGCAAAACTACATCCAAGCTACTGCGTCTTTCTGGAGTATGTCAATGGCATGCACCCCCAAAAAGCGGTGCATTTCTTCCGTGAAAATCCATGTTGTTGACCATTGGTCATTGGCTGGTGCCTTCTACTCTGTACCCGCTGTTGTCGTTTTGACTGTTTATCTCCAAATTGCAACATCCGGATAGGGGTTCATCTGAAGTGTGACGCGGAGTTCTGCAAGGAAAACAAAAGCAGGACGGTATAGCCCAGCATAGCCCGGCATAGCTGTCATGTGGCATCAGTCAGTCATGCCATGGCATGAAGACACAACAAACCCATGTCTGATTTTTGTTTGGAGCTGGCATCTGAATCATGCATGATCAAATGGGTACAAAACAAAAGTACCATGTTTACCCTCAATCGTGTACCCTCTTTTTCTTATGATCTTTTGATATTTTTGGGGTACCCCACGGGTTTGATCCATTTTTTGGGGTACACATGAGCTACGGACGGACCGTCGCGGCACGGTCGCCCAACGTACCCTCCGTTTGGTCGGCTCGGTCGATGTCGGTGCAGAAACCACCGGTCGGTCTCTTGGTTTGTGCAGCGTCTGGTAGCGCACTCACACTGTTGCTTGTAGCAGTGGTACAAATGAAGTGGAATCCTAGCAAAACCGGGTTAGACCCATATCGAAGCTGATGGCATGGACCCGACTGAAAAACCATTTTCCTCTACAGACCAGTGGTTTTGAGGTTCCATGATGTTCCATCTTAATCTTTCAGGGTGTAAACCATGGTGTTGAGGGGTGCCATAGCCGCTCCCGACATAGTCTCTGGCCTTGCTTCTGCCTCTGCAGCTCGCTTTTGCCGCAAGGCTTGCTGCGCGGCCTGTGCCTCAACTCGGCTCGGCTCCGCTCGGCTCCGCCATGCACCACTTCGTCCAGGAGAATTGTTTCAAGTTTCCAGGCGTTTTCCAAGGGATGAATTGGCTTCATTGGCCTTGGACCCCCCCCAGTATCCAACGTCAGGTTCCTGGGACTATTTGGGATGTATCATGACATATCACATAATCCAACGAGTGGATGCCTGTCGTCCGTTGGGACTTGTGTTCAGTACTTCCCGGGGAAGCCCACGTCGGACTCCTCCCAACTTCAGCTCCAGGCGTTCCAGGGTTGAAGCCCGTCCAGGAAGCCGGATGGTTTTCAGAAGGACCGATTTGGCCGTCACCGGGTCCAGAAGGGTCCAGAATCAGTTGACTACTAGTAACAAGTGCCACGCTAGTAGAAACAAGTGCCTTACTAGTAGTAACAGGTGCCTTACTAGTAGTAACAATGTTCGCTACTAGTACTACCAGCATTCCAGGGACGGTCCCAGGGACCAGTTGACCTCAAAAACCGTCCAAGACCAGCAGTTCCATGGAGGGTGCTATCCAAATGGAGGAAGGAGGTGAGGTGCCCAGCTACTCCACATAGGGACTAGGCACCACTGTTTTGTGACTTCTGGGATGTTGGGGGCCCAGTGGATGATGATGCTTCAGCTGCAGACCTTTCCATCTCTAAAATAGTGATCAAACGGTCAACACCGACGGTTGCAGGTTTCCTGGGACACGCCCAACATTGATACACATGGCTGTCACAGGGGTGTCCAATGTCCAACAACTACACCACCCCAACTAATTCACATGGCCGCAGGAGTGTTCCGCAGGATTGCAGGATTCCCACCTCCTGTGCATGTCGGCCGAAAGAGGCTACGGAGTGCCGAGGTCATTCAGGCCGAATGCTTGGGGTGTCCAATAGGCTGCCGAACGGATGTGTGGATTCTGGCGGTGTTCCACTCTTCAATCGCCTCTTCAATGTTCCAGTGTTCGTTTTGTTGACCTTTTTGTTGGCCTCGTCAGATTTTTGGGAGGAAAACCAGGAAAACTCAGTTTTGATTTCTTCCCTTTCGTGAAACTTCCTGCCTCCTTCTGCTTCTCTTGGGCGCTCTCTCTAGCTGCAGCCTGCAAGAAGAGAGACTCGTCTCCTCTCGCTTAAAAGGGAATGGGTTTCATTTGGCTTCACTATAGAGATTCAAAAGAAAACATGTATAAAAACCGAGGAACGCAATGCATCACATTAAAGAAATATGAGTTCACCCCGACCACCACCGAATGGCAACAACATGCAACAACCGTGGCACCGGTTCGCCTTCTGCAGCCCTGCCATGATGCGCACTCCACGACGATGGGACGCGTCCCATCGCCTGGCGTTTTGGGGGGGAGCATTGGATCAGCTTCACTTCGGGTTCCAGAAAGCCAAACACCTTCGTATCAAAGGTGAATGTATAAAGGTTCCTAGAGTTCCTAGAACATGATGCCTTCAAAGGATCTCCAAAATGGTTCAAGGTTTTCCGTGGGAACGGTCGCACCAAAATTGCTTCAGTGAGGAAGCTTTTTCCTCGTGTGGGTCGGCTTCGGGTGGAGAAGCGGATGGTTCCGTAAAGGGGTGCACCCGCCCGGCTCCTCTTTGATGTGTCGTGCTTACTGTAAGCCCAATGCATCATTCCAGTAAACAACTAGGCAGCCTAGGCAGTAATAACAGTACACCCCTCAAGCCACCAGCCTTCCATCTGCGGAAGTCCAACCTTCCGTCCTCCTCCCGAAGTAACGTCGGTCCGACCATGCCGGTGGGACGTCAAGAGGCGCGCCAAGCGCGTCATCAGGCGCTTCTGGGCGACCGCCTGCTCCGCATCCGTTCGGTGACCCCGGTGACCGGTCCGGTCCGTCCCAAAAGGATTGGCCGGAGCGGGTTCTACCACCACCCGTTGCTTAGAGGGTGGCTTGATGTGGTTTGACCATCCGGTTTATGTCCCAAAGGAGTCCAATCACTCATCTCACCCCTTATGGATTCTGACCTTCAGGGCCACGGTGAACTAAGTTGTTCGGCCTTGTGGCTCAGACCAAAAGGGGCCGAGCCCATGGTACGCCCGACGGGGGCCGGTATCTTTAGGCCGCGAACTGAGCCATGGCAAAGCTGAGGGGCTTATCAAGATGCTATAGTTCAAGGTGGCTAGTATCAAACTCGCATGCGACCTCTGAGATCATCAAACCGAGTGATCTTTGAAAATTTGGCTTCTGGCACGACTGGCCAACATTGCCTGTACGAGAGGACTTGATGCAAGAGAAGCCAAATCCATGGGAAGATCATACGGCAGCCTGTTGAGGACAGGCAATTTTTTCGACTTTGGTCGATGCGGAGTTCTAAGGCTTTGATCATGTGGATTGTTCTAGAGTACCTGAAGCAAACATCATTTTGGCCCGTCTACCGAGAAGAGATGGAGGCATGGTTGCCACTACCATACCAAGCATTTCACTTGGATTGGGCGCCATGGACATTGTTTTTTTGCAATAATCTTGGAAGCTTGCGGAATTCCCTCCGGGTGAGGGTGAGGCTCGGATGGGTCACACAGCAGTTTCTATGTTAAACAACTTCTGTGACAAGGGTCTCCTGCAGGATGATTTTGTGATGAAGAACTTTGATCCTGGCCATGTGCAGCTTTTGATCGACAATACCAAATATATATAGACAGGAGTTGCAACATTAGAATATACCTTGAGTCAACTGGCTACTTTTTTCTTGGACCAGACGACCTGTGCCAGCTGCTTTTTGTGTACGCTTACGTTCCGGCCACCATAGCGCGCCAGGTGTACAGCCTATGCGAGTCCTGTTGAGATTTACCTCCTGGAATGATACTACTGTAGGCTTCCCATAGCAGGTGGTTGGATGCCTTTGTCTCGGCACTTGAGCGCAGTCTTTGTTAATTCGAGATTCTAAAATGGGATCTTCAGTGTGACATGCTTGATTTTGCCAATTGAAAAAACCTCTTGGCAACAGATACATTTCGATCTGACAGTACAAGCCTCCAAGTACCCGGGTCTCAGATCGGGCTGCTCGGATCGCGCATCGGATGCGAAGTCGCGTGCGTCCTGCGTTCGGATGCGTGTGGGGTCGGGCGACCGGACCAGGTCTGATATATTGAGACTAATAAGGTCGTCCCATGAAGGTCTCCGATGTAAGGTCGTCCCAATTCGGAGCTTCTCCCCTCCGACCGGCCGTCCCCAACCGCGGCGGCAGCGCGAACGCGGCGCCGGCGGGCGCGGCAGCGCCTGCGCTTCCACCGGGCACGTTCGGGCCGGACGGGAGCTTCGCACGAGACCTGGCGGCGGCGGCTAAGAGGAAAAGAAACCCATCTAATTCCAGAACCTATAGCGAATTGAGATAGACCACACCCCCCATAGATTTGAAGCCAAACTTCCAAGAAGTGTTGGAGATTTGGACTCTGATTGGTTTTTTGGCCAGGGGTTCGAAGGTTCTCGATCTCACACATACGTGATACGGTTCACCCTTTAGGAGGGTGTTCAGCGCAACAGGGGCAGCGGCAAAACGAGACGCAGCTTTCGAGTCACTTGACATCGTCTGCCAGTGGCGATTCTGTTGGTCTATCTAATCCAAGCCATACACTCACCAGAAACCACGAGTAATCCCAGTGGGTCAACGGTCAACGCACCAGTTTAACCAGTTCTTTGGACTTGCTGAGTGATGTTTGCCATGTCTTTTTCGCGGAACTCCGCACGAACTCCACGGGGGCTCTGCAAGCCGGTGCTCCGCCAAACGTTCAAAACCGCACACGGGAACGTGGGAACTTGCTGCCTGCGCGTGCGGCGCTGCGCCTACGAAGCGGACGCACCTGCGCCTGTGTGACATCCGAAAGTGCAAACGCAGTGGAAAGCTGCTGGAAAAAACGGCAGAACTGGCGGCAGATTCCCCACAAGTGCAACCCCAAAAGGTACTAAGTGCAACTAAGTGCAACCCCTAAAGTGCACATCGGCTGATTCCTATCCGTGCTGCAGAAGTCCCCTATAGCAGTTGTGGTTCACCTTTGAAGACCCCACCGTGCTGCAACGGGAGGAGAGTCTTAGGACTCTGACCGCTTCTTGCATCGCGATGCTCCGCTTCTTGCGCAGTTGTGCACGGTCAAAGGCGTGCGCCTCAAGACCAAAAGATCCAAACCCAAACACTCCATGGGACTGCCGTATATGCCGATCAGTTGGGGTGGTTTGGGGGGTCAATGTAGGCATATATGGCATACATGGAGTGTCTGGGAAAGGATGGAGCAAAAGTTGTGACGATGTCCTGATGAAAGCACCCTTTGGAGTGTAGGGATTTTTTTTACAGTATAACTTGGATCCTGTGGTACTCTGTCTCTTTGACCAACGCGCTATGTTGCTGACAAGCTGTAGACACAAGAAGTGTATATATATATATATACATTTCTTTCCAAGGTTGACTCTCGTAGCTACGGTGGTCCGCACACAATCCCTTTTCCTCAGTCATCTTGCCAGTATGGTCTTCAACCTGCCATGTCCAGCAGGATAATTGCGTTGGGTTACCTGCATCAGCAGGCCTGACACAATCAGACTCTTGTGGTATCCTTCCGGTCACTCCGGAAACCACTCCCCCCCTGGGGTACTTAAAAAGTGGTCTGAAAGCGGTCACTCCGCTAGATTGTGCCAGATCGCAAATCCCTGCGCAAGCCCCAGGCTAGCCGGCTAGCCCTTCAAGGGTAAGAGTAACCCCACCGGGGGCCCTTACTCCAGGGTGGGCTGGGTGGGAAAAAGAGAGAACAAACGCTATTTTGGCCAAGTCACTTGAGCCAAAACATTCGTTGGTTCAAACCTATGGCAGTAATGAATACATGTTCACCCAAGCCTGCCAGACCTGAAACATGTTTACATTTCTTTCCAAGGTTGACTCTCGTAGCTACGGTGGTCCGCACACAATCCCTTTTCCTCAGTCATCTTGCCAGTATGGTCTTCAACCTGCCATGTCCAGCAGGATAATTGCGTTGGGTTACCTGCATCAGCAGGCCTGACACAATCAGACTCTTGTGGTATCCTTCCGGTCACTCCGGAAACCACTCCCAATGCACTTCAAATCCTCCCAACGCACTTAGAGAAATTCTACGACTCGGATCACTGCTGGCAGCGGAAGGTGCCAAAGGCAGAGAGGGCAAGAGACGGAAAAAGGGGTGAATCCGTTGGTTCGCCACCACGGATCGGACCAACCTAGTCTTGAAATGGCGTCGGCCCAATTACTCTTAGACGGAATGTATTCCCAATACATCCAGGTACGCAAAGCGTACAGCATGACATGAATCAAACCACACATGCGCTCCAGATCGGGTGACTGGGAACGGCCCCGAATCAGACACATGAGGCTAGCGACGTTGTCGATCAGCCAGATGCCTCGACGACCTCGAAAGGCCTGCGCCCGATATGTGAGGGCATAAATGATCATCACCATCTCCAACTGGGCTATCTGCCTGTCACCAGGCTCCCACAGCTGGTAAACTTCCGGAGAAATGTTGGCGATGAAGGCTTCCCGAACCGGTCCCACCGGATCGTGCCAGACGATTAAAAATCCTCCTGTGCCCTGCTTTGGTTCCTCCAAAGCTGCGTCAGAAGCTACAACAAACCGCAAACATTCGGACGGCCTCACGGGAAGTTCTCGACAGGGTCGATGGCGAAGGATGGAGTGAATCACATCGAAGTTGCGCTGAAGCTCTGGAGTGAGGTCGCGGTTGCGCTCTGTCTGGCGTGCTTTAATGGCTGCCAGACCTGCGCATCCCAACCTTCCGTACATGCCCTGCTCGAGAAAATTGAGCATGCCGTAGAGCTTGGATGCCTGGCCTGAGGACAGGCTGTTGTGTGCCTGTGCCTCGGTAATCATCGCAGCTGTCTTCTGAATCAATCGATCTCGGGCCCAAAACGTCACGAAGCCCCGACTGAGGTTCGTAAAGTTGTGATCAAGGCCCAGGAAGGTACCGGTAGGCTGCATCAACTGTTTCTTCTCCTCGGCAAACGGGGTACCTAAGAGGGTGTTCAACTGACAGAAAGCTTGTTGGCTGGAGCCGAAGCCTGACTGGAGGTCCGTGATGTGGGCGTCATCGAAATAGAGCGACACCAGACTGTATGTAAGCCGTCGGCCCAGTGCTCAATGAGGCGGGAATACCGATTGAACGATGTAACCGCGAGCGGAAGGCCGAAGAGGAGGGATGAATACACCTGAAAGGCGGGTTCCCCCCGCTCAGCATGCCAGAAGCAGACGATACAGCCGCGGCTCTCTGCCTGACTGATAGGGGAATGCCGATACGCGTTCGGCCAATCTTCCCCTCCTGACTGCCACTCGTCAGCAGTCGTAAGAGTATGCCACTGTTTGTCTGTCAACAGTGAAGCAACCGCCCCCACATGTTGTGCAGGGCGCAACGGCGAGCATAGAACCAACTTGTTCCAATCCGAAGACCTCTCAGACTGGCCTCCTGTATCTCCATTATCAATGATCCGCTTTTTGCCCGAGGATTGGACAATCACACATCGGGGGATGAGGCGGAATGGTTCTCCTCGTAGTTCTCGTAGGAGCTGCGCCTGGGTCAACGGTGCAGAGCAGAAGCCTTGGGCGGCATCATTCAGCGATTGCTCCAGCAGCACGGCATCATGTCTGCCGGGTTTGAGCGAGGCGAGGGTCTTGTAATTGTGGGTTTCCCCGTCGTCGAGCACGTCCTCCATGGTGAGGATACGACCTGGCTGCTCCGGAAAGACCCCGTAGGGTGGTGCCGTACCTACAGCTGGCAGTCCCGCTACCAAGCCGTAAGGGTACGTG